TGTGCAATTCGGCATTTCTTCCACCATAGAAAAAATTCGTGCCCTAGAAGGAAGATAAATCGAGATCGACATTGCTCAGAAGTTGATTTTTCGGGGCCGAGGATATGGGATACGGGAATAACGTGTTTTGCACGCGGACGAGCGTAGAATGGGTTCAAAAGTTATCGGCGCGCTTTGTTTATTGCCACGGTTATCGAGCAGGCCGCGAAAGCGTGCTCCGGCTATCTTATTCGTTTCCTTTCTTTCTTTTTTCTCTCCACGATAACGCGCGAACGAATCCGCGAAGGGACTTTTTTCTTCGGGCGAATAATCGCGGTGAAAAAAACATCGAGCTCACGAGGTACGATTATACAAGAGTAAGAGGTCGTAAATCATGTATAGGTGACTCATGGTGTCGGCGATATTTCCTTCCCGAAGAAGTAGAAACGTCGATACATTATCGGACAGGCTAATGAGTCTCTCTAATTGTCCAAGGAATAGTTAATTGGCATTATCTCATTAAATCGAGCGGCATCGTTTATGTTCGATCGTGCTCTTTCTACCCTCACGCATCATGAGCCGTGTGATCGTCCTAGACCTGATTTTCCAGCGAATTAGCACGTTCGACATTTCTCTCTTCCCTTTCTTCTTGAATCTTTGATTTTTCCAGTAAAACATGTCCCAAGCAGCAAAGGAACTTTGTTTTAATGGAATGTGCAAAAGTAGAACTACTATGGTTGTCGAACGTGGAAAATAGATTGATAACATCTAGAGGATTATTATCAAACTGCGTATGCACGAAAATAATATAAATTTTAATGTAATATTAATTAATATTAAAACAAACCTGTCTAGATTCTACCATTTAAATTACTTTTACGAAAATATAAATTTACATAAAAATCCGCGATCTAATTGTCACGTTCTTTCTTTTTAATTTCTTTGTCTTCTCAGAAAGAAATGTTATGTTCTAACGAAATATATTCCATATTTTAATATAGAAATTTTATTCTAACGGAATATAATGAATGAAATATAGGAGTTGTTAAACATACGAATGACCAAAATTAATAGATTGTGAATAACACTAATAGAATTAATAACTTTTGCAATCAATTCTTTAATGTGATTTTCTACAGTCACTAATAAGGAAAATTCAAGATTCGCGGTGAATCTAGAGAAAATTAGCCGAGCCAGTCGTGTTGGAAAAGGTCTTGACAAGTGCCACCACGGATGTCCCATGGGTTCACGACCCCATGCCGGTCATATTAGAGCACTGAATTAGTTAATGCCAGTCACATGGCCGAGCCAATGAATTACCTTCTCGTGATGCGTCAACAGTGCATACGATTGCATTTTCGACAAGATCGTTTGTCCAATCATCGTCCCTTCCTTCCTGTTTAGCTGGCCCTTGTTCGACGAATCGTACTTGTTTACTACTCGTTAATCCCATGCGACAATCCCATGTTCAACCGAGAGGATTTTGAACTTTATTCGCTTCACGAGTTCACGTTTGATTCTATAAACTAAAATATGGATTAAAAAGTGTCTCATATCTTTATGCTAAGATATCGACGGATTAAAGTAACTGTAAATTGAAGATTTTTTTTTTTTTTTACTAGAATTAACATCTCAAAGAGTTAAGAGGAAGAAAAGACATTGGATGTAACAATTCTCTGAAGAATAAGTTTTCTTGATTCGTTTTTTAATTCTTGTTCATTTAATAATCTGTTTGCGTATATTTTGATAAAATAAAGCATTTGTTCAAGTTAATGTAGAAACTTATACCACAAAGTGTTAAAGAGGAAAGAGAGGAATCGGGGATAAGAAGAATATTGCAATTATTCGCTGGCCCTCTCTCTCTCTTCTAGCGTCTCTTCATTTGATTCTCATTTAAATATTTTCCAAGTATTTAAATACTACACTCCAAGTAAAATTACATTCAACAAAGGAAACAATTATTCGCAAGTTTCTGATTTTAAGAGAGAACAAATATCTCTATATTTCACCTAAACGCCATACCTCAGCAATTATGTCCGAGAGAAGAAAAATATCGAAGTTAATGTGACTTCAAAAAAAAGTCACATGAATATTCTTTTATTCCGTTTTGAATTTGTAGTAAAATGCTAGTAAAAAACAGAAATAGCTATCGAGAGAATGCTGATAATTCCATCGATTTCAAGTATCTGGTTTTTTTTTTTCCACGGCTTTGAAGATGCGAACGGTGATTCAACGTTAAGGAATTCAGAGTATTAAGCTAATTTCTGTGTTCTAAAGGTTCACGAGGTCCATTCTAATGGACAAATTATCTAATTATTCGGACAATGAATTTCGCAAGAACGAAACGTTTCTTTCATGCTGAACGAAAAAAATCAGACAATAGCCAGCCGAGGTCCATAGAGGAACAAAACGGAGAGGGAATTATGCAAAGTAAGGGAAATAATTTTCGCAGAGAGGTATAAAAATGTCTTGAGGAAATTACGAGCGCCGATGGCACGATTTAATGGACCGCGTTTTCACTATTATAATGGTTGTTTTATAAGTTTTAACGAACATTCAACGCGTTAGTTATTTAAATACAGGTATTTTACGTATGTCCTTCTTTGGTCATTTACATGAAACTATTGCAAACAATAAGTATATTACGTAACTTTTACATAACGTATCCATAAAAATATGCACTCCTCATAAATCAGCGAACGTTTAATAAAATGAGAAGATGTGGTTACGATTTACGTTAGAAATAATTTGACATTTTACAATTAGCAATATCATAGCCTTAACTTTATCGTTGTCTTTAAAATTCTTTAAATAATTTGTGGGGATTTTCGATCATTTTCCTGCATAAATATAACATTTTGTTCCATTAATTATGCAACAATACATGATCGCATAGAGTGTTCAGTTATTGCTCTTTTTAAAAAAAAATTTTTCATTTAGTTTCGAAGTCGCTTTCCACGTTTTATATATTTGGCACAATACAATTTATTAATTATCGTCAATTTTTCATTCATTGTTTAGTCTATATTAGAGTATTGGATAATCTCATAATCAATAATAAAATAACTTATTTATCTGTCAGAAGTTCAAAGAGGATAATATACTGAAATATATATTGTATAAATATATTAAAAGCTGTATGTTTGCAAAACATACACAAACAAACAAACAAAAAAAAATGAAAGCATTCTTAATTTGTTATATGTTTCTGATTCAGTACTAAACTTTTAGACATTGATAATTTTAATTTCCGCTATTACTATAACAAAATTACGAGAAATTGCGTCCACTGGTAATAATTAACCTCAAGAAAATATTTGTTGAGAATATCACATTATTAAAAAGTATTCTTGTGATTTCTTCAACTTCGTACAATATTCATTTTCGTTGAAAGAAAAGGAAAAAAGATTTTAACGTCCATTGATTTTTTGCTAAATTTCAATAATATTAATATTAATGTTAATATTAGTATTAGTATTAATAATAGTAATAGTATGTTATAGTAATAGAAGTTCTGCACGTTCCAGAACTTGGAAACTTTATACGTACGTACTTCGTGTCGTTCGATGTTTCATTAATAAGTTAGCACCGCATTTTTTACGATAGTCTTACGTGATTCACGTTTGATTTAACAGTGGCACGATAATTCACCTTCCTTCGACGAAGTATTAAAACTGCAGCAACTCTTGCCTGGTTGTTCTTCATTTCTAAAAATGTGATACCGCCGCATTTTTATTCTCGAGAACTCGTAAAATCCATCAGACAAACTACGTAAAACGTGGAACGCAAAGTTCCTTCGTTCATATTTATAATGAAGAATATCGTTATGAAGATAATCGTTAATATCGAGATATATGGAAAATGGACATAGTAGAAATTATTTTTGGGTAATTACAGCTGTTACAACAAGTATGAGCAATTTTTTAATAATAAGAATTTTTTAATTGTTCGTAACAAGAAATATAGGTATACAGTCTGTTTTAGATAGAGCTTTTCAGTCAATAATACTAATCAATAGATTGCGGATTTTTATGCATTTATGTACAGGAAATTTCATATAAACTGCTTTCTGCTAGGTGAAGCAATTTTCTACTAAAATCCTATTTTTTAAATTATATTTTATATTAATCATGCATAAGAATCCGCAATCTATTGATCAAATCACGATTTACCATATATTTTAACCATTGTGAAACAAAGTTACAGTTATTACAATTAAAATCTAATCGATCTTTTCTTTTTTTTCTTTTTAAATAGCTAATATTTTAGTATATTTCAATGAACATTCGAAGGATCGATCAAAAGCAAAATGTCCCTATAGCGTAGCTATTTGTTAATTTCACAACATTAAATCACTGAAATCACTAAAAAGTGATTTTCGCAAAAGTTATATTGGTTCATTTGTAGTTCAATTGTACTTACATCTCGCTTTTCGGAGAATTTTCAACACTGATAGAAGCTAAGGTTACTAATTACTAATGGTAATATCCTCTAACTGGCGAATATCAAGTAGCATCTACCTGATACGTCTTCTATTTTGCGCAAAGTTCAATAATTGCCACTCTGGTGTTGACGCACTCCTTCGTCTAGACAAATTTACCAAGTCGGCAATCCTTTCCGATTTATTATCTGTTGTCTCTTTGCATTTCGGGGTAAACAACACGCGAATTTACGGCTCGATGTGCTCATAAGCAAGCAACGTGGCCCGAGCAATAAATACGAACAATTTGCCACGGTGTTCTTTTAAATCGTTCATCCGTGTCCATCGAAAATCTCGTCTAGCCAAAAGCTCGGCTTTCTTTCTTTCTTTTTTTTTTTTTTTAATTAGTAAAAGGTACGTGTTTAATCACTTTAATCTGCCAAATTAAACGTAATCTGGTGGTGCAGCAAGTAGAATGAAAACTAAAGATGAAAATTCGCTACGTTATCTTGTAGTATAAAATCACAACATGTAATTGCAGATGAAAATTTTCCAATCTTCAAATCGAAAGTAATTCCGAAACGTGAAAAGATGAAAGTTTGTTTTTTACAATCAAAGAGTGAAAGTTTATTATTATTATTTTAAATTAAAACAAATACAAGTGAAAGTATAAAAAGAAGTCAAAGTGTGTCGGAGCCGGAAGCTGGCTGTATATATAAAGTATAGCAGAAGAGAGAGAGAGAGAGAGAGAGAGAGAGAGAGAAAATCATCGATCGGAGCTTGGTGCCGGCGTCGAATAAGACAGCCATTCATCAAATTACGTGGTAATTTTGATCAATGATAACTGGTGACTTTGAAGGCAGCTTCCTACGAGCCCTCGTCGAGGGAAGTGGCCAATTGCCGTGTACAGCTACCGTACAGTCGCTACTAGAAATACAACCGATAAGACTCTGAAGCTTTCGTCCCTCTGTGACGCGAAAAACGCTTCAATTATCTCGTCAATGTTCCCCGTGACCTGAATCTTGATTTTCATCGAAATTTCAAGTTCTCCTTTTCCGAAACGTGGAAAAAAAAAAGCTTTAAACGCGGCAAGATACTTTTCGTAACGAACTCACGTGTATCTTGAATCTTTTTGTCTTTTGTCTTACGTGAAAGGATAGAAGTAAAAAAATTGACGGACAGCCGTGAAATATTTAGATTTCGAATATTTAGGGAGCAACAAGGATTTTGAATATTTTCGAAGTGCTGATTTCTTTATTAATAAACTGCGCTTTGTAATATTTAATAGCTAAAATAATTCTTTATCTAGTACGTTCTAGAAATATAACATCCCCTAGAATTTTGCTCTCTAACATTTTCATATACATGACATATTATTATATGCTATAAATTTGTGTCTTATAGATTTTTCTCTAGTTGTCATCGTCGATAAGTATGCACTGATAAGATGAAAAATGTATTATTTTAATATATTCGATCATTTCTTCGATCAACAAAATAATTTCTAATTTCGTTAAGAAAAAAAAAACTGTTTTTCGTTTCTCTCTGAAGATATATCTCTTCAAATTGTCTCACTTTTGTTCCAGTTGAGTAATATACTGCGCAGGGTGTAAATAGATATATTTTGTATACAGAAAAAATTCATGGATAAAATATACAGGATTTTATTTAAAGATCTTTTTCGACCGTTACATGTGCCCCTTGAAATATAGTGTAATTTTATCCTGACAATGGAATAGATATATTTGAGTGATTCTGTCTAAGATAGGGAGAGATGGAGTTCTGTAAAGTGCAATCATATCAAAGAATATCAAACAATAATTATCGAATAATATAAAACATTCATTAAATACAACGATATCAAACATTCTTCGATGTTATCGTGTAATAATACACAATATCAATTACCTCGTATTTTGCAAAATTTTTGCTTCGTCCCTCGGTACAAAGTTACATCTTTGATCCTACAATAACATCAGACATTCTTTAATATCATTTCGCAGAACTTTTGCTTTTTGCTTCGTCCCTCACCGAGTTATTATCACTTCTCCGCTTTTGCTTTGTTGAACATTGCGTTCGCACGTACATACATTTGAAGGAGATCCGCTCGAAAACGAGAAAGAAAAAAAAAAATGCTAATCGCGAGTGTCCTCGGCAGAGGTGTCCGCGACAATAGACCGGCCGCCGATATACATATACGTGCATACGTACATGTATACGTATATCGCGGGGGGAATATCGCGAGCGTAGCGCGACGACGACGTCGACAACAGTCGGAGCCAGGCTAATGAGTCCGCTAAATTGGACCATCGCTGAGGCCCTCCTCCCATCATCTGAGGTCCGTACGGTGGTTCTCTCTTCCCATTGTCAGTGTGACTCATTGGCTTCGTGTGCGACGGTCCAGCCTACGTGTTCAATTGCTTTAAACGTTATTTCTTTTTGCCAATTTTTGCTTCCGTCCGCCCGTTAGTGTCAGTGTCAGTGTCACACGGACGTCGACGACCACTCGAGAAAGCCTCTTCCTCTCCTCCCCTCCGGAGGAAAACGCTCGACTTTTTCCATTCAAGTCGCGAGTAGAACTGAAGAGTAGAACTCGGCTTAGAACCGAAAGAATCCTCCACGGACGACAGATGCGATCGAGCGTGTACAGCTCGGCGAATATACATCCTCGTGTATCGTCATCGATGAACGAGACGACGATGATCCCTTGGCGCGAGTACTCACAGCTGTCTGTTAACTCGGAATTCTCCTGAAAGCCTCCTGGATTCTGGCTAGCTTGTTCGTCGATTGGGTAAATTTGGTGGATTGTATCGGTTCGTCTCGTATCCGTTATCTCGAGGATGATCTTCGCGGCTTCCACGTGGTTATGTAATCTTCTTGGATCGAGGAACTTCGAGCTTGCAGTTGCACTCTGAGAAGGAGGCAGGAGAATCCAACACCGACAGTATTGTCGACGTTCAAACAATTGTAACAAAATTGGTCCAGTTAGCCGAAAGATTGAAACGATGGCTAATCAATCGACGAAGAAAGAACTGCTGGAGGAAGCTCTTCATTATCATCCGGATGGTGGCGAGGAGGAAGTGGACAAAGAATGGGAGGAATTCAGCAGGCTAATGGCGAAATTGCGAGAAAATCGCCGAAACAGACCGCACAGGTACTTCATCCATCGAGATGTGAATCCAAATTTTATTGTCGGACGTTGAATTAGGAGTACATGTGAGATTTTCATAAAGTCGAGGATTCTGAATGCAATTTGATAATAAAAAGTATTGTATACACATGCTACGTATATATACACAGAATGAATAAGTATAAAGTCCATGGAATATTTTACACATACATATTAATAATTCATGCGTTTCCTGTTTGGTTTTATTATCATGCAATCAGTATGATTTACGTTGATTTTTACGAGTCTTTTCATTTCTACGAAACGATAAAGAAATGGAATTTAAATACAGTAAATTTGTTACACTATTTGTATTAGATGTTATAATCAATACTTTGTACATTTTATATTTTATGTTTCGGTATTTAGGTGTATCGTGTGCATTCTTGCATTTACAAATTCTCCACAAGTCCGCGCTCTATTTATCACGTCATCACTTTTTCCTTTCCGATTTTTCTTTAAAAAAAAAA